TGGGGCCTGGCTATGTATTGATCCAGTTTGCCTTCCCGAATTAACCGTTCAACGATTTTTCGCAAACTTATGCAGTCCTCGGTATTGTGGCTATTCTGCTGATGGTATCGGCAGAATTTCCCTGTATCCCTGCCGTCCTGCCGATTAGGCTTTCTGAACGATGGCTTCGGGATTATCTCGTTTTCGTTCATCAGCACTGCCTCGTAGGAGGTGTTGAGCAGGGTGAACACCTCCGTCCCCTGGTTATGTGCCGTTAGTGGGGCTCGGTAGTTGTCCCTGCCGTACCTGCTCTTGTTTTTCTTGGAATGCCCCCTTTGGGAGCTTCCGGCGTCTTTGTGCTTGTGGCTTTCGAGGTGTCCGGCAGTTTGTGATGCCGGAGCGAACGGCGATGCCTGAGCCGCAGAGGAACGCTGTACGGGTTCGCTCTGCAGAGCCGTGGGCTCGGCCCTCGAGTTGAAGTATTCAGCTTTGGCGTGGATTGCCGCTTGTTTCATGAGTTCATCGTACGTGCGCCAATTGCTGCTGTGTACCAGATACCGGAAGTGTGAGGACCGTAGGCCACTCTTGAAGGCGCCGTAGGCTGCCCTGTCATCGGTATCCGGACATCTTGAGTATTCATGGCTGAATCGTGCGGCATATTCACGCAATGGTTCGTCATCTCTCTGCCGGATGGTATACAGGTCATCGGCAGAGTACAGTCTGTCCGTGTGAATCATGAAGTGGTTCAGGAAGATTTGCTTCAGCTCGTCGAAGGAATCGACCGTCCCTAGTTCCAAACGGTAGAACCAATTCAGAGCTGCTTCTGTGAGTGAGGAAGGGAACAGAAGGCACAGGCCTTCGTCGCTTAGCCCTCGGCACCCCACTGCCGATTGGAAAGAATGAAGGTGCGTCAGTGGATCCTCCACCCCTGTGTAAGGGGTTATGCGTAGGGGCTGTACGTCCATATCCTGCCGTGAGTGCCTTATGCGCTCGGTGAAGGGTCCCGGCCGGAGCCTTCCCCAGTCCGGCTCCTAAGAGCGAGTTCGATCGTCTTCCATTTTCTGTACCCTCTGAAGGAGGAGGCGAATGACAGGGTCCCTGTCCGGTATCTCCTCTGCAATCTGGTGTGCCGATCGCTGCTGGGATCTAACAAGATTGACCTCAGAGAACTTCGTCGGGGTTGCCGAACGGTAGGACAATGACCGGTTTGCAGAAGGGACGTACTCTTGGTCAGACTCTGCCGTGGATTCCAGGACCGGTATCCTCCGTATCAGAGACTTCCTCCCCATGTTTCTCAGTCGGGGATCGTCCAGGCGGGCGTTGATCCTGATCGGCGATTCTTGCCGTTCGGTGTGTCGTTCGGATTCCCGTTCCAACAACCTATGGCGGTAATCGGAATAAACCTTCTTCGGCACATGGGGCTTATTTTTGGGTGCCGGGACCACCAATTGTTTAGATGGCGCAGGCGCAGGCGTTGCCTTTGCTGCCCTCTTGCCCTTCTTCTGCCGACGGGGGGTCTGTAGGCTTTCGGACGATCGATCTGTCGACATGTTTTGCGTTTGCTGCTGGTTTAGCAGCAGTTGTGTTTCTTCCACTCTGGTCGAGAGGAGATTATTGTGTTCTTGCATCCTAGCCATGTCCTGCCGAAGGGACACGACTTGGGCTAAAAGCTCTGCGTTTTCGGCGGATTGGATTACAGGGGGATTAGTTGCCGGTGTGTAGGGGGCTGAGGCAGGGCTAACCCCGCTTGGCATGCCGAACGGCATCCCCTCCCGTGGTACGAACGTAGTTTTTTCAGTGGTCCCCATATGTTCGGGATAAAGGGTCGATTTTATCGAATTCCCACAGACGGCGCCAAACTGTTGACGCCAAAAAGTGGTTCTTTGACTTAGAGGGTCAACTTAGTAATTTTATGCCTTCGGTATCCTTGATGCCTCGGTAGCCTGCGCAATCTGCAATATGAGTAAACGCACGGTAAGACCTGGGGCACCGGTGTGGTACCGGCCGAAGGCTCTCCGATGCTTAAGTAAGTTCGGGAATAGAAAGTTCAACTGACAGATCAATAGGCTTGTATGCCGTAAGTTCTGATTACCTCTATTTTGGGATTGTTGGCCTCCTTTTATAGGTCTTGGGAGGTGTGCATTTTGTTGATTATTTCGATGTGGGACTGTGAGCGTCGCTTGGGAGCGTGCCACGTGTCCCAGGAGAGGGCATTGCCCTAATGGAGAGATCGGTAGGTAAAGTGCCGAGGGCGCCTCTGACCAAGCCCAGTTTTCTCCACGTGTCTTGCCCTTATTGGCTGTTTATTTCGGGTGTAAACAATCTATTTTTCACATCTTTATTCAGAAATAATCCTTGCAAATAATTTTACAAATTGAAAATCATTAAGGCATCTAATTAAGATCAACAAAATCAATGAACATGGTGCTTTAAAAAAGTACTTAAATTTCAATATTTTAATTAAGTGGTCAAATGATATCGTATTCAAGTAATTTTTTTTTGTAGAGATGATCTTTGAATGAATATCTACAAAATAGATGATTTGAATCAGTGAAATACAATGCGGAATGGGCCCTACATGTCATTTTGAACACATTGCATGCACACACACAAAGCTAAAGACTAAATTACTGAATTTAAATCTAAGAGAGAAAAGAGACATCATAAAATATACCGGCACTAAAGTAGGTAGAATCTCTATGAACTTTTCCCACAACGACTTGCACCGCACTGGTGTAATTAAGGTATCCTTTGTAGAGACCTAGTAATTCAGAGTTAATTCTTAATAATTTTAGCAAAACCAGTTTGACAATAGAAAATGATATATATAGAGAGCTAGCAGAGATTAAATAATTAGTACCCCTTTCCAAGTGTTTGAGCAAGTGTTTGAGGCAAGAGGATCTTCAGGGGCTTTTTTAAATTTTTAAATTTTTTCCATTAGAGAAGAAAAGAGACTTTTTTCAATATTATTGGGCGTCCCATCATTATCCAAGCGAATGTCAGCCATACTTTTTTCAATTTTATTGAGCGTCACATCATTATCCAAGCGAATGGCAGCCATAACCAATAAAACATTGAGAGACTGCATCAAAGATATAAAGTAAAATCAATAAGTCGCTAAATTAAGTATCATTTAACGGCAAAATATAGATAAATGTTATACTTCCATTGACAAAAGTTTCGAGTGATTACAGCAGAGCAGGCGTCCTTGATAGCAGCTTTATTTACTTTCTTTTTTGTCCTAGGATTTTTCTCACTTTCATTAACCTCGGTAGCAGCTCGGAAGACTATTTCAAACCTGGAAAAATGTTAACAGAAAAAACAATCATAAGCAACCGAAACGATAAGGCAAAAAAAGAAAGAATTTATTGACAAGTTAACTACCGGTGTTTCATGAGCTCCAAAATTTGATCCTCAGTCTTGTCTCTTACTATTTTCTCCACCACATTTCTTGCATGGGCCCTTAAGTCTTGTTCCATTTTGGCAATTGATTCGTTGTCCACATTAAAAGCAACTATTTCAGTTGACAACGTTGATACCGCCTTTTTAGTCTGATCATGAAGAATGGATCTTATTGAAGCCCAGACGTCTTCTCCACCATCTTCAAGAAGAGCCTCAACCTGTTTTGTTAAAGATGTAGAAAGTTGTTTCTGAAAGCAAAAGAAGAAAAAAAAAAGAAGTTATAAGTGCATTAAACAATTTAATTAATAATAAATATAATGAACCTAAACTTAATAAAAATAAATGACCATCAAAACTTTAATACATTACCTCACACTTATCTTTCAACTCCGATAACTTTACATCATGAACACGTAATGCATGTGCATCTATATCACAAACAAGTTTTTTTCGAATGCTTGAAGTATCCCAATTTGCATTCTGTATAGTGGCATCTGCAAGTATATGAATTGTTAGCAGGGATACAAATTTGAAGTGTCCGATACATATATACTGCCATTACCTTTACACCATTGGTCAAACTCACGCACGGAAGACTCAATACATGATGCGCTAACAGATGAATCAAATGATCCTTCTTTTAAGGACTTGTCCAGTCTCACTCTGAACTCTTCAAGTATTTTAGAACATAGGTGTCCAAGCATGGTAGTGTAGGTAGCATGGACAGACTGTAATTAGTTCAAAGGAGAGTAAAAATTTTCATTAATAACAATTATTTATTATAATAAAAAGAAACAAAGGGTAAATTGTTTTGTGAGTAGCCATACATCCAATGCTTTCAACTCCAGCAGCAGTTTCTTTGTTTTGTTCCTTACACCTTCGTCGAAGTACATGGTCTCCTTGTCATATCTATGACGCATAAGACATACCAAAAATGTCAGAACAAGAAACAATATAAAACTTGGGACTAAACACAAATTGACGCACATATACATAGAACTTACGCAGAAAGATAGGTGTTTAGAATTGAGGTAAGCTTTTCACCAAAACCTGGTACCGGACTAGTTTTAGCAGCTTCTATCCATGCCAACCAATCCTAAATCAAGTTCATTCAAGTTAACTTATGACCAAACAAAAGACCTTTTTCATCGGGCTAGAAGTACAGAAGCACATGATGAGAAGAATGGAGATAAACTACGGGTTACACATACCTTGTTTTCCATCAGCTGCTTGAATATCTCATCGGCAATCTCTCCACACCGAACGGTGGCAACCATAACCTAATTAATTCAACATATATATGTGTATCTATATGTTATATATGCATATATATGGGAAGCGAGAAGTGAAGACCAAATTGAGATCATATTTTGTAATGGAAAAAGAAGATCAACTAATTAACAAACCTTGTGATTAGGAAGATCCAGGTCCCTGTTCTGTTTGATTTCATTCCATATGTCCTGTGCACTATGAGAAAATGCTGAGGCTGGAATTCTATCACTATTAGCAAGGCCTCCTTGAGAAATATAGCTAGGGAATCGTTGCCTCAGTTGACCAACCTGCATGATACACCCCATAAGATATTCACTGGTACATAAGAAGGAGACAAAACAAAATTTGTAACTTCCCGTATAATTTTTGGATACAATGAATTGCTTTCTGTGGTATTGTAGAGGGGTTACCTCCTCCATAAATTTCTCCTTTTGATGCTTATAATGGGACAAAGCAACTACTTGTACCTTCATGCCCCAAAGATTGTTATAATCAGACAGGATATTAAGCTTTCACTAATGTGAATATTATAAATTGCATATGCTTTCGGAGAGAAATGAAAGAGATCTCACGTTAAAAATGTCATTGAGCAAGGTACTTTCATGGGCTTGTGGCTTCGGAACTCCATCCCATATCTGCAGAATTTATAAGATAAAGAGTACGTAGAGCTTTGCATATATATAATATAATAACTATAAGCAACTACTTGTACCTTGTGCATATCTTTCTCTAGATTATTCTTCAGCAATTCAAACGGGGTCTAAACAAACGAACGGCCACAAACAAGAAAGAATTAATTAATATTTAATATGCATGGGTTGAGTAAAAATATGGGTCTATTTTCTCGTAGACAAACAGTATGCCCAGCCAGACCTCTGATTTATCGCGTATGACGAACAGTAAGGTCCTTTTATGAGGGCTGAATATGCGCATCATCACCTGCATCCGTACATTAAGAAACAAGAAGGTGTGTAATTAAACGACAACGAATTCATGCAAAACGTGGTTGTTTATATAATATATAGTACCTCAAAAACGGTTCTTAGTAAAGGTTTGTTGGCAGCGTTCTCTCTACCAATATCGGTGCACCACCTGCGCATAAAATCAAATATACAATTCATATATCTAAAAAAGCCAAAATTTGAAGTTAAATTACTTGTATTTGTAGATTAATTCACTGATCTCTCACATAATTTGTTGTTATGAGCGCACGTGTATACTATTACCTACACCTACCAACTTTAGTCTAACTGTCTAAGTCTAAGAAGGAATTGATGTTTTCAATATTAGAAAGAAGAGATTCCACATTCAAATTCGCTGCATGACTACTTACTCAAACATTCAGTGACCCAAACTAACACCAGCTTTTTCTTGCCAAAACAAACGGCAATAGATACCTACTACCTACGTGCATGTGCCAATCCTATCACCTTAACTAATTTACCAAATTAATTAAGGTATCCCATTTATCTGGTAGTTACTTACTAAACAAAGTAAATAAGATGAAGTATACTTCCCGAAAAAAATAATAATAATTATACATACATATTTATTATCACAACGTCCGAAATTGCAAGCGCAAATAGGGCGCTTTGCTTCTCGAATGCAGTATCATCCTGAAAATAATAGAATTGCAGGAGAAGTATATATGAAGAGTGAGTAAATTATCTGAGAATTTTAACATATAGTTACTAGAAGAAAAACTTTACCCAATAAATTTTTATTCCTCGGATGCTTTTTTTTTAAACTTTCTTTTTCAGTGACTAAGGGAGGGAGATTATACACCGGGAACTTGATGATGAGGTGCCAGTTAAATGAACTAAATCTGTTGGTTAATAATGATAATACGTAGTTGGTAAGTATATATATATAGAGAGTCTTCTCAAACTGTGAATCTGGGCCACACGCGTGACTCAACAGAAACCTAACTAGACAAGTTTACATCTCTGGCAATTTACCAAAAAAGCTGAATATATATACCTGGCCTCTCTCGCTGCCATCAGTACCCTCCAAATCCATGGCGATGGTGCAAGGCTGAATGCCAACACATTTGGCTAGCCAAACACCCTTGGTTGTTTGGTTCCTGGAACGTAGGAAACATATAAATTAACCTTTACTTGTGTCGAAAGCAAAGAAATAAATTGCAAACAGAATTAACTACTAACCTTCCCTGGTATGCATTCATCTCCCTGAAGTTAGTGTGGAAGAGATGGTTCATTAAAGTGCTCTTTCCTGTTCATAGGCAATTAACCCACTCAAAATTAAACAAGATCATAACCAAACTGTGTGATTGAAGTAATTAATACTAAAAGGCTTAATGATTTACCGCTACTCTGAGGACCCATGATGGCAACGACGGCATAGGAGAGCCCATAGTCAGCAAGCTTCACTTTCTTTGCGAAGTGGTCGAACCCAGCAGCTTTGAATATGCCGCTGCTGTCGATGAGTTGTATGTCACAGCAATCTTCCTTCATCGCCATCTCTAAGTATAGGGAAGAAGAGAGAGAGAGAGAGAGAGAGAATCTGTGTACGTAATATTCTTGACACAGTTTACATATATTTATAGATAGGCTTTTCTGTAATTATGTATAACCTTGTGTAAATATATCACTCTTCAGCTTCAGACAAACGTGTAGAAAAAATTATGGGTTCAGTGGTTTGAAATTGTCACTTTGTGTGGAAATTAAAGGCTGAGACTTGAGATCTATTTGATTGCGTCAGATTTTTGGACAATGTCACGAATTATATAAATTATAATAGGGCCCTCTTGAGAAGAATTTCCTTTTTTTTTTTCAAGAAATTTGTTTATTTGTGGGGCTTCAAACTATCTATTTTATTTGTGGGGCTTCAAACCAAGTGATGATTGTGCCAATATTCCACCGAAAGCGTGCAAGCGATCATCCACCATGTTTGCAGTACGAACGGATATGGGTAAAAACTTCTCTAGTAATCTATGGCATCATACTCTTGGTGTCTTTTTTTCAACAGATGTGGGTTTTGGAAATGTTTGCTAAAAATAAATATCGCATACGAAAGTGAAAGACGAGATAGACTACGTACAGAGAAAATATTAGTGCAATTTGGCAAGTCGATTGCCATTGCCTTCTTCGATAAGCAGGACCAAGTGTAGACTATTCATTAATTTCATGGAATTTTAATTATATTTAGTATTGATCTGAGGCACTAACCCTTTTTGTCAAAAAGTCGTTGGACCGACCGACCGAGAAAGATGGAATTGACACGGGGGATATACAAGAAAAGAAGGAATATTGAGACTTCTTCGTGATGAGTTAAGGGCTGAACAAGTTAAGTTAGGTTAAGTAATTTTAATACTTTTTTGGGGCTTTCAATATGAATTTTCAATTTTGAGTTTTTTGTTTTTGTTTTTTGGTTTTTTTGAGAAAAGGCGATAGTATTTATTGAATACGGAATGTAACAAATACAAAAATGGGGCTATGTCTTCAGGTATTGGGCGAGTGTCTCTACTCTACTGGGTTTGTACGTCAAGCTAACAAAGCAGCCGTACCCGCTCAACCGCAAGCGGGAGCAGGAGCCTTACCTTCGGTAGAGTGCACCCCCCAAGCCTTACGTCCACCATGTTTGTAGTACGATGGATATGGGTAAAAACTTCTCTAGTGATCTATGGCATCATACTCTTGGTGTCTTTTTCTCAACGGGATGTGGGTTTTGGAAATGTATGCTAAAAATAGATATCGCATACGAAAGTGAAAGGCAATATTAGTGCAATTTGGCAAGTCTATTGCCATTGCCTTCTCCGATAAGCATCCTGTGGAGCAAGTGTAGGCTATTAATTAATTTCCGGGAATCTTAATTAAAATTAGTACTGATGAGAGGCATTAACCCTTTTTCTCAAAAGGGCCCTCTTGATCGGATGTGCTCTCACTTTGCATTCCGAGTTTAAATGTCTATTTCCATAGTTTAGATTAGATTAAAGTAGAATATTATTTGAATAAAAAAATAGTAAAGCCATTTTGAGAATAATTTACATTTTTTTCCAAGAAATTTGGTTGATTTGTGTTACTCCAGTTTTTGGCCCAATTTTTCAACTGTCTATTTTATGTGCCTCAATTCAACTTGCCAAAGAAAAGAATATTATTTAAATCGAAAACCATTTTAAAAGACTTACTTGAAACCTTGAGCTCGTCTACTTCATTTTACCACATATAGATAGATGTTTCAATGATTTTTGGTATATGAATACTTTTGCAAAGAAGATATTTAAATAAATAGGTGAAAAATAATTAGATCATTAAACGAAGTAAAATACTAACCCAGAAGCAATTAATACCCATTTCTTGCAAAAATAAAGTCGGAACCAATCCTCTCTAGAATGGTGGCGATTTTACTTTTTGTTAGAACTCTATGGACCAACTCAATCGGGTCTAGTCCATTGAAAAATTGTCTTGATTTGCAGGCTAGTGGTCTCAGAGGTTCGTACTCTCATGACACCATTTTTTTTTGTGGACAAACACTCTCATGACACTTTGATAGTGTATATGTGAAACTATCCTCACTCTATAATCTCGTTTGAGAGTGATTCGGGATAGGCCAAAATCACTTCTGAAAATAAGTACCTCTCACGTGCTTATCCATATAATCACTTTAAGTAATTCTGGAGAGAAGCAGCTCCCATGTGGTTCTCCATAAAATCACTTAAAATCACTTAAAGTTATTATATGGAGAAGTGATTCTCCATAGAAGTACTTTTTGGCCTATCCATAATTACCCTTAGACTATGGTACTATAAAAAAAAAAATTATGTGAACCAAAAGTCTTTGTATGTGGCCCCAATCATTTTCATAACTAGTGATCAATTGTAGTTGCTGTTGTTGAATCTCCTCTCTCTATAATTTAGAATGTGGTAAAATAAAAAAATAATTTATGTGAACCAAAAGCCTTTGTATGTGGCTCCAATCATTTTCATGACTAGTGATCAATTTTAGTTGCCGTTGTTGGATCTCATCCTTCGAAGGAATATTGGGACTTTTCTAGGAGCACCTCCACCGCAAGGGGGAGGGCAGGCAAAAGGGGGGCCCTGGCCCAAAAAACCACTCCAGTGCGTAAGGTCCACCTCGGACGGGGTGGGGGGGCAAGCCCACATGCAAGAATTGACTGGGTTGTAGCCCGAAGGCTGCTGAAGTTAGCCGTGATGTCACGTTGATGTCAGCGCTAACAGAAACCAACGGGAAGAAGTCACGTGGTGCTTCCTGGACGCTCCGATCATGGATTTTTGAGAAATCCAAGAGGTGCGATTTTTTTGCCTTAAAAAATTCGAAATTTTTTATTAAAAAATACAAAAAAATTTCTGAATTTTTTTTTATAAATACCTTGGGCCGGTCTTGAGATTTTGAGGGGCTTGTGTGAACCTTAAACTGGGGGCCTCACATAAGCTAACACAAATTTACATAATTACGTAATGCCATACAATAAATGTTTTTTTTTTCTTAAAGTGACCAAAGTACCCCTACTCATAAGGGCAAAATTGAAATTTCAGAAAAGAATTAAATTTGATTAAATCGATTAAATTGGATCAGGGATGTTACATCTTTTGAATAATCACCATGATTGTGACAATGAGTCTTTGTCGTAATAGATCATATTCAGATATTAAATATTTTTTAATACCTAATTTATTTTGTATCAATATTCCAAGAACATCATTAATTGGATGCAACTTTTTTGGTTGAGTTAGTTGGATGCATTATTTTTGCAAAATTAAATATCTTTTTAACACCTAATTTATTTTGTATCAATATTCCAAGAACATCATTAATTGGATAATTTATTTTCTATCAATATTCCAAGGACATCATTAATTGGATGCAACTTTTTTGGTTGAGTTAGTTGGATGCATTATTTTTGCAAAATTAAATATCTTTTTAACACCTAATTTATTTTCTATCAATATTCCAAGGACATCATTAATTGGATGGAATTTTTTTGGTTGAGTTAGTTGGATGCATTATTTTTGCAAAATTAAATATCTGAGCATATATAAAAACAATCGTGTACCACTTTACTAACCACATTTTTAATTGAGATGAGCCCTATATATGGAAGTTTTATCTCTATGGGCACTTGAAAAAAAAAATCTACATGAGTAATTGAAGAGCTAGCGTCAAGTCAATGATGGGGACGTACGCACGTGACAAGCAATATCTGCACATGGGAATATATATATTATTGGGGCAATTAGAATATTCTTGCTGATGAATATATATATAGTGCCATGCATGCAGTTGAGAGATTCAGTGTCATCATTTGAGGAATGAGGTGCTTAGTCGTTGGATCTATTTCAATGAAATCATGTGGTTGAGATTGATTTAAGTGTTTAAACTTGTTTGTGTCTAATGACTTGACAAAAATCCACATGTACGTACGCTTTACTGCGTAGCAAGGCTGCTATAACTCGTCCACGTGTTATAATATGGATGAGAAATATGGTTAATATTTCCCACTTTTATGATATAATATCAATAAATATCCACTTATATATTCTAACAAACGAGTTATACCATGTGACATACTCTCATACTACGTACACTATAATTACTTGCACTAATTAAAGCATCCACAATGAGGTCCCTAAACCACCTCCTTAGACAAATTTTAGGGAGGAATTGGAAAAATACAACTTCAACCATGCTCCCTATTCACCTCCTAAAATAGAGAGACCTCTAGGAACTCCTAAATCTGAGGAGAGAGAAAGGGCTCCTAGTGGCTTCTTAATTTAATGATGTTTCGTTTTATGCGTAGTTTAAACTTTTAATTAATACAAACTTTTTTATTATTATTATAGAGATGATAACCAATCATATTGAATTAAAAAATAATTATAGTATTTATGACTTCCTAACTTAGGGAGTATGATTGGAGTTCAAATTTTATAGAGTTCCTAAAATAACTTTAATTTTGTGTGTTTTAAGCTAAATTTTAACTAAAGGACCTTTGCCTACATAATTACTGACTAATTTCTTGTGATCGGGTATTTATTATTTCAGTATGTGGTTGTGAAAGTAGCTGGGATATTGAATGTTGGTGTTGACATTGGACAAACTGCTCTAAACAGTGGTTGCAACATTATGTGATTGACAGACAACAGAGCAGTTTTTATTTTTCAACGAAAACAATGAGTTTCAAAAAAACAAACCAAAATTTTAATTTGACCCTAATTGTCATTATGGTGGTTTTGCTGCTAGCTAGGTCACATTTGCATATGACTCTGTTCTTTAAAAAAAATTTACTGGTCATGTACGTAATAAATTTTCAACTATAATTTTTATTTTACTTTTTGCTATTTGATCTTTTTTATTTTATTTTTGTCATTCGATAGGGAGGGAAATGGGGGAGTATTATTAGGGGCGGCCCTGAGGGTGTGCAAGTGGTGCCACTGCACAGGGCCCCTAATTTTTTTTATGTGTATAATATATGTATATATATTAATAAATGTTATATATAGGGTGTAGGGTTATATATATATATATGAGCGAGCAAATTTTTGACAGACTTTTCTAGTTGTGATGGTTTGCAGGGCCTCAACTTCCATTCAGGGCATGACTTCAAAACCTACTTGTGTAAATCATAGTTTTAGTTCTTCTTTGGTTTTTTTGGGTAACAACAATTAATAATCATAATAATTAAAAAGGCAAACACGTTATTTTCTGTAAGTAATAATCATCGCCAATATCTCTCCTTGGCTCTCTTTTTTAATCCTTTGACAATTTTTTTTTTTTCAATTTCAAGGATTTCAACACAAAAAATCGACCAAAAAAATTGATAAATGTCACTCAAAAGCACATAGTCAGATTTAAATTTGAATTCAAATTCAAGTATGTATCTAAATTTCAATTTATATATACTAAATGACTTACTTCATTATCATGTTGATTGGTTATACAATGAAAGATGATTTAATTTGTAATTTGCATGCTAATTGATGATGATTTTTACTTTAAGGAAAAAAAAAACATTTATTGTATGGCATTACGTAATGGTGTAAGTTTGTGTTAGCTTATGTGAGGCCCCAGTTTAAGGTTAGCACGGGCTCTCAAAATCTCAAGACCGGCCCTGAGTGCACCCGAGTTCGATTCACGTAAAAGACAATCTTGAGGCAACCCAATATAACATGATTAGATTAAGCTTCTAAAGCGTAAAGATAGGTAGTTTGTTAAAAATATTAGGATGCTGGTGTTGCGTAGATTTAGCTCCACCAAAATGGATTAAGCTGCATCCTCAACTTGTGATACTCGCAAGTGCACGAACCGTTGGTAGTATAGCATATGTAAGTGCGAGGTCGATTCCACAGGGATTGGTGATTGAATGATCCAATTTAGTTTCCCTACACAAAATAGAAACAAAAACAAAGAACATAAAACAAGGAAGAAAGAAATAAGTAACTCAAGCAAATAAGTT